CTCCAGCCCCTCCATGTCCTTTTTTCAGTCCCATCCCTGCAGTCAGCAGGAAAACCCCGGATTCCCCTCAGAGCCGAGCCCGGGAGCTGCTCAGTAAATCCATGGATGTCAGCTGGGAATCAGGACCTTTGCTCAGTCAGACTCTCAGGCCCCTCTTCCCTGAGGGCCCCGTTCCTTATCTCTGTTGATGGATTGCTGGCACTGCTGGATGGCAGGAGCAGAAGGTTTGGACTCCTGATTCCAGCTCATCCCGGGAGCAGATCAGCTGGAGCACATCCCCTGGAGCACATCCCCTGGAGCCACAGCAGATCCTGGTTCCTGCAGTCCTGAGTGTGCAGAAGGGAGTGACTGAGTCCTCTGTGCCTCTGGGGCACAGACACCCACCGGTGCCACCCGTGGCCACAAGCAGGGCCGTGGTTGCCCCGGCACTGGGGGGGCTTTCTCAGCAGGAGGGTTTATTTATAAAAGGCCCGTGAAAAGCTGCTCTTTCCTTCCTAATTGATAGTTTCTAATAGGAACAGTTTTTATTTTGTGTCAGTTTAATCGTGGGTGGGGCGGGGCAGCCTCGGGTTATAATTTGTTTAGCCCAGAGTTGGATATTTTGGGAAGTTGGTGCCTAATGGGGTAAATGCAGGGATGGGGGCGAGTGGATCAGATTGGAGCAGTTCTGGGCCTCAGCAAACAGTTGTGCTGTGGAAGAAAATGAGTGTTTGTGCCCTGAATGATCATAAATCCTCCCTGCAGAGGAAGGGAAACCTTAAACATCTTTCCCTCTTTGACCATTGATACTCAGTTTATCCCACTGGGCTCTGAGAGACTCTTGATCTCCAGGAGTAAAAATTCAGGACACTGTGGTGTTGCTGGACAGCCAGAGGAGTCTGTGCAGCCAAACCATGGCCTAAAATGTCACACTCCATGGCATTCCCAAAGGCCTAAAACATTTGAACACCAGTACTTGAAGTTTTGTTTGCCAAAGAATCCGATAGTGAAGCTCTTCAGCCCTCCCTTGGATTATGTGTATGAAATAAGCAGTTTTCTGCTCCCAGAACCTCTGGTTTCCTTGTTTGTGGATTGTGGGGATACACAGAGTTGGGTAAGTATTAAAATAACAACTGGCAGCTCTCCTGGCTCGGGAATGTTTTCTCAGCAAACAACTAAACACGATGGTTTCACGGTGGAGATCTTGGGTATGTCCTCAGTTACTCCTTTTTCCTCATCTCCTCCTCCTTCCATGGCTGGACTTTGCCCTCTGGAGGGTTCTCCAGCAGGCTGAGGGCACTGCACCATCAAAGAACTCCATGGCCTCTGCCCTGATCCCAGGAAGTTGGTGTGTTCAGGGATTCGCTCCCGTGGACCGACAGTGCCTCAAAATCCCCTTTGTTGTAGTGTGAGCTGAAAGAATTTCAGGATCTTCTGGCACTAAATGTTTTGCAGGCACTCTGAAAATCACCTCAAATCCTCCTGGTTGAGCTGGGTACCAGCAGCACTCCGGGATGTGCTGCTTTGGGAATCATCCAGGGAGTGATTCCAATGGCAAAAGCCAACGTGAGTCACAGGCTCCTCCTGCTAAACCTGGGCTTTGATCCTGAAACACATCCCCTGTCACTCAGGGACATCAGCTGCTCTTCAGGAAGTTGCTTCACTCTGTCAGGAAGGAAGACTTTGAAATTCAAACCAGTCCTGTTGGAGTCAGGAATTTCTTTTGAGAGGTGAGCACGTTTTTTGTGCTCGGGGAGGCTCCAAGGATCTGTCCAGCACTGCCAGGATCTCCAGCAGAAATGTTAATCACAGAATCCCAGGATGCTGTGGGTTGGAAGGGATTTTAAGGGTCATCCAGTCACACCTCCTGCCATGGGCAGGGACACCTTCCACCAGCCCAAGTTGCTCCAAGCCCCATCCAACCTGGCCTTGGACACTTCCAGGGATCCAGGGGCAGCCACGACCTCTCTGGGTCACCACCCTCCCAGGGAAGAATTTCTTCCTAATATCTTAATGTAACTCTCCTCTGGCAGTTTGAAGCCATTCCCACTTGTCCTGTTACTCCAGGCTCTTGTAAAAGGGTCCCTCTACACTTTTCTTTTGGCATCCCCTCAGGCTGCAGTTATAAGACAACCCTTCCCCCCCAGATGTTTCCAACTCCTGGAATGTAAGAACAGGCTTAAAAATCATCAGCATTGCTTAAAACATGAGGGGCTTTTTATTGGCCTTTTAGAGTTTAGGATTTGCTTTTCTCAGACTTGGTTGCTGGCAGGATTTTCATGTAACATCCCACTGAAGAGCTCTTGGAAAAACACGAGCTCCAGCAAACGAGATGCTTGATAAATTCTCTGGGAGCAGCCAGAAAGAGAACAAGGGATTGAAAAGAGAGGCATCATTGTGTCCTTTCCTAGAATTTGGAGGTTTGGGCAGAGTAGAAGTGAGAATTGACGTGGAGCCAAAACTTATATTTTCCCAACTGCTTCATTCATGGAGGAAGATTAAAAAGCTGTTACTCTCCATGACCTGTGGAACGTGTTGCTTTCTTGGTGCTACTTCAACAGACCTTTAAAAGCTTTAAAAGCCCTCTGGCTGCAGCTCAGGGACCACCTCAGGCTACTGCTGCTCCTCTTTGTGGAGGGGTGGGAGAGGCACCACTTCACGCTGGTGAAGAGGGGGGGTGAGGCACTGACAGGTCCCAGCCCTGAAGTATTCCAGGTTCCTTCCAAAAGCGGTTTTTACTGGGAGGTAACACACTCTGTGAAACCTGGGAGGGTTTGAATCCCTCTTGGGTTTGTGTTGTGCTGAGGCTGCCAGGTCAGTCTGGTTTGCAGAGTGCTGACTGGCACGTAGGAAGTGTGGCTTGTGAAAATCCTGAGCGGGGGTTTTGTGGGATGGGGAGATTCCACTGGATCAGTGAAAGGCCCCTGGCTGAGTTTTGGAGGAGCAGAGAAGTTGTGGATGCCCAGAGAAGCTGTGGCTGCCCCTGGATCCCTGGAAGTGTCCAAGGCCAGGTTGGATGGGGCTTGGAGCAACCTGGGCTGGTGGAAGGTGTCCAGGGTTGGAACTGGATGGTCTTTAAGGTCCCTTCCATGATTCTATTCTTTTCCCTTCATTTTCTCTCCTCTTAAACTGCCTTCATCTCAGCCCACGAGTTTTCCCTTTTTGCTGCTTCTCCTCATCCCCCTGTGAGGGAGGGAGGGAGTGAACGTGTGTCTGTGTCATCTTTAGCTCCACATTAAACCACAAAGGTCATTTTTGGTGCCCAGTGTGGGGCTCGAAGAGCTGAGGTCCCAGAATCCCAGAATTATTAGGGTTGGAAGGCACCTCTGGAGATCACCCAGTCCAGCCCCCAAGGAGCAGGTGACACAGGAA